CTGGCTTTGGCGAGGAGTGTGGCTTGGGAAAATATGGCCTGTATGCTGCCTGCAGGTCCTAGAACAACTATTGTGGTGGGAAAGGCACAGGTGGGGTTCCCCATGGGCGTCCATACCACCCTTGTATGTCTGGTCTGGGATGGTGTCTAGGGTGCTCTTGTGGCTCAGATCTGATACTGGTCTGCAGGGACGAGGAATGCTGAGATGAAGAAAGTTCCCCCTCCTCATCCTCCTCTTGCGGGGGAGGCAGATGCAGCTGGTGGTGTGCATGGTGCTGAAAGCATCAATGCATTGTCAGTACCAAGGAGAAGGGACTCAGGTTCCAGTATCACTGTCAGGTCCTTAGGTGCAAGGAACTGCTGTATTCTCAGTACCAGAAGAGGTACTTGCATTTGTTGCAATGCCGAGAATTGCTGCAGTACCTGGAGGTTGTGCAGTGCTGTAGGGATAGGCATCTACATTGACTGCACAGAGGACTTAGGAGGCTTCAGTGCCGATGCATTAGTGATGTGCAGGAGAGAGTCAGGTGGCGGCACTGGTGCCTTAGAAACTGCAGAGGCACTCGGTACAGAGGATTTTGTTGTTGCCGCCGGTGATGTAGTGGAAACGGCAGTCTCTTCTCTGCCTTCCTTTTTGGAGCCTCCCTGCTTACCGTCTGTGGCTTTAATGGTAATGATAGTACCAAAAGCCCCTGCCGACTCATAGGTACTTTGCCACAGCTTCTTTTTAGATGCAAGTTTGGTAGCAGGAGTGGAAGCTCTCCTATTTGCAGGTCTTTTAGGAGACAGGTCCTTCCCACATGAAGCTGAGGAGGGGGATCTGTCAGAAGCCACCTTCAGTGATTAGTCACCAGGAGAAGTTTGCGTTCCTGAATCTGAGGCAGAATGGAGGGACTTCTCCATGAGAATAAGCTTACATTTGAGGTCCCTTGTTTTCCCGGTGAGGGTCTTCAGATTATGGCAATGAATGCACTTTTGGGGTACATGTGTTTCCCCCAGACCTGTGATACATTGTGAGTGTCCATCAGAGATAAGAATTGCCTCACAGCAGGGGATACAACATTTAAATCCAGGAGATCCTGGCATTTCAGAGGGACTATCCTGTGACGGGATGAAGTTATAAAGAAATATTTATTTATTTTTTATATGGAGAGAAGAAAAATAGAAAGTCTTAACCTACTAGCCTGGCGGTTGAGAAAGGTTGGGGGGGGGCACACGGCCACGCAGCGCTAATCAACTGCTGCAACAGGCACGAGACAGGGAGAGCGCATGTGCAGCCCAGCCAGATACTGCTGTCGAAATTCTCCAGCTAGAAGCACAGGGCACTCAATCACCTAAAGTGAAGCACCCACAGAGAAATCACTCGAAGAAGAAATAATATGCTGTCTTAAATTATATGTAAATATTTTAAAATATTGTCTTCCAGCTCAGTTAAAAATCTGAAAAAGAACTCAACAAAATTGCGTGTATGCTTTATTGTCCAATTGACATCCACAGCTGTGATAGAGTACTGGTATTTGATCAGATAATTTGGTATTTGGAGCCAATCTTCTAAGAAGTGCTGAATACCCACAACTCTAACTGAAGTCAATGGAAGCTGCAGCTACTTAGCATTTCTGAAAATCATGCCCCAAGTGTCTAAAGGTGGTGTGCTGGGCTCTACTATTATGGTCACCACTTTTACAAGACTATGATAAGTTTTGTACAAAATATGCCTTGAGAAGTATCACTTGAAAAAAATCTGCTGAACATTACTGTGTTGGTAAAATACGTGTATCAACATTGTATGTAAAGGTACATACATTTTGTATTGATACATGCTGTATCATTTTGCTGCAACATGCTCCAAGCTAAGAAAAGCAAGCTCAAACCAGTTTCTCAGGAATAAAAGGACAGACCAACACCCAGGCAGGTGTTGAAGAGCTATCACCTGCTTAAGCGGCCACTCTCCCAATGGGGGAAAGGTATAAACAAGAAATTTACATTTCACCATGTGGAATGGTTCAAACCTCATGTCCACTGGAGATTGCTTGTCACCGGCACTCCAACTGGGGGTAATCCTCAAAGAGGGGAGAGTGAGAATAAGAGGGGAGAGTGGTATAAGAATGACAGATGGCGGCCTCCATTTCATCTCTCCACCCCATCTCTGTTCATAGCAGCTACAACGCTCAAAAGATAAAAATCATCACTGAACTGGGGGAAGGGTGGTCCTAGCTGGAAGACTTTTCAGCTAGTACAGACTGCTGTAGCATGTGGTCAGACTTTTGCTTTTAAGTTTACTTAGCTTGTTAAGATAGATATTAGCTTGCATTTTACTCTTTTATTTTCTTTGTAATTACTTGTAATCATTTAACATCTATCATTCTGTAGTTAATAAACTTATCTTATTGTTTTATCTTAACCAGTTTGTTTGGGTTAAAGTGTGTAGGAAACTCTATTTGGGATAACAAGGCTGATGCATTATCATTTTCCTTCAGTGAAATGATGGACTTTCGATGAGCTTGTACTATTCAGAAGACTACTGACCAGTACAAGATGCATATTTCTGGGGGACAAGGCTGGGACTAGAAATTGCAGGTATCACCCTGTATGTAATTCATGAGCGACTGGTCAGAGTGCTCATGTATTTAGCTGGGAGTGATTCTGCATGCTGAATGCTGTGTGAACAGACGAGGAGTTGATATTTTGACAGCACAGCAATGTAAAAGGCACCACAGGCTAGAGAATTAAGGGGACACAGCTGTTTAACAGTCCAGATTTTACTCTGGGTAATGTCACAATTGGGAACTCTAAAATTAGATTCACCCTTGAAAATGTGGAACATGAGGTACAGAAATAGAGGACTGATTCTTACTAGAGAAATCACAAATGATAGCGCACTGCTGCAGGATCTGTCAGTGTCATAGCAGACACAGCTATCACTGGCTACGTTTTGAATTGTTTCAAAAGCATCTGTCTGAGAGTTATACATTATACAACCAAAGTTATAAAACTATTTCAGACTATCAAAGGCAGAACAGCTATGAATGATGGTTTAATTGGGCTGAAGTTTTACATTAGCACGGCAGCTCAGAAACACACTGGAAACCATTTTTATCTTTTATTTTAAAAACAAGGTGTCAGAAGTAATCTTCATTTTGTTTTTAAACTAGAGAACAATCTTTATGTAAAATACTGTACCAAAATTAGAAAGAGTATTAATTCCTTGGGAACTAAATCTAGTTGAGATCTTGGTCTAATTACATTCTGCAGTTTGATAAACAGAAATGAGAATTACTACTTATCTAAGATAGTGTTTGCTCCCCATATTAAAACAAAAAACAAACCAACAACAAATAAAAGACTGCAGTTTTATCATCCCATATCTCACTATGAGACTGGTATGCCAATTTCCCTGAATGAGTAGTAGTTTATAATATAATTTGTTAAAAAACAAAACAAAAAAAAACCCACACACCACAACCCCAAGCAGTCTTCCCCAATGGTTAAAAGATACAGAAGTATATTTCATCTGTAGTACCAAGACGACAATATTTTTAAATTAAATACTTTTGATGGTAAGAATGTATTTAAAACTACAATATATTAAAAGAACAAGGTCCCATTGAAACCAACAATGGAAAAATTAAGGCTTGAACATAGTCCTTAAATCTCCTGCACTATGACTAGATATTCTCACAAGCAAGATGTCACTTATACTTTGGAACTTCTGCGATATGGTACAATGTAGTGAATTACATATGGAACACAATGCTTTTGTTGGTTCAAGACTTTCCATATGTTTTGTTCACAGCAGAATTTTTCTAAAGGCCAAAACAAGTGATGGGTTTGTTTTTAACTAAAGATAGCCTCCTGACTGAATAATCTGCATCACCACAATAGGAATTTATGTGATAAGAGACTCAGATTCCAGACTAACCACAAGAGCTCTTTTGTAGATTCCAGCAGAAGCCAAAAACACTACCCGGAAGATTCGAAGCTGTGCAAAAAGAGTGTATATATATCAGCAAAAGGAAAAGGAGTACTTGTGGCACCTTAGAGACTAACCAATTTATTTGAACGTAAGCTTTCGTGAGCTACAGCTCACTTCATCGGATGCATACTGTGGAAACTGCAGAAGACATTATACACATAGAGACCATGAAACAATACCTCCTCCCACCCCACTCTCCTGCTGGTAATAGCTTATCTAAAGTGATCACTCTCCTTACAATGTGTATGATAATCAAGTTGGGCCATTTCCAGCACAAATCCAGGTTCTCTCACCCTCCGCCCCCCCCCCCCCCCAACTCACTCTCCTGCTGGTAATAGCCCATCCAAATTGACCACCAGAGAGTGGTCACTTTGGATGGGCTATTACCAGCAGGAGAGTGAGTTTGTGTGTGTGTGTGTGGGGGGGGGGGGGTGAGAAAACCTGGATTTGTGCTGGAAATGGCCCAACTTGATTATCATACACATTGTAAGGAGAGTGATCACTTTAGATAAGCTATTACCAGCAGGAGAGTGGGGTGGGAGGAGGTATTGTTTCATGGTCTCTATGTGTATAATGTCTTCTGCAGTTTCCACAGTATGCATCCGATGAAGTGAGCTGTAGCTCACGAAAGCTTACGCTCAAATAAATTGGTTAGTCTCTAAGGTGCCACAAGTACTCCTTTTCTTTTTGCGAATACAGACTAACACGGCTGTTACTCTAAAACCTATATATATCAGTTTCAGTATGTCTGAAACAGATACCTGTAAATGCTTTATTCTATCTATCGGGGAGTCAAGATGGGTGAGATAATATCTTTTTTTGGATCAACTGCTGTTGATTAAAGACTCAAGCTTTCAAGCTTACACAGTGCTCTTCTTCAGATCTATATCCAACTTCCGTGAAGAAAGTATTGAATTAGGTGTTATGGAAGCACTCTGAAAATGGAATTCCTCTGGAGTCCTAATGAACCACCTGAAGGATATTTATTCTTCTGAAAATTGTACAGCCCCGTTTAGTAATGCACTTACCTGCAAAAACAAATAACTGGACAGCACATTGTCCAACGACGGACTAAGGTAGACTGGGTCTGTCATTCTTACACCTATTCCTCTGAAAAGCAAGAAACTCATATTAAATCTGATTCCACTAAATTATCTGCTCTGTTCTAAAGTTCTAAAACTACATTTTGCCATGGAAATATTCCTTTGTTCTCTTAATAATCACCTTTTCACAAGATACTCAGAAAATTTGAGTGACTCAATTGATACTACTTTAGCCAGTGATGGTCTGCTTTTTGTTTTTCAGCAATAGTGATATTAATGATAAAGGGGCACATTCCACTTAAATCACCAAGGTTATACTTATTTAACTGTGAACAATTTTGCATAAGTGAAAATACATAAAAATCAACTCAAATGAAATAAACCTTTTACAATTTTATAACCCAAGCTAATGAATACCCTTTGAAATGTCATCACATTGGATTCACCAAATGGGTGATCTGCAAAGTAAAGAAAATATTTCTTTGTATTTTGCACATTAAAAAATGGCCAAAAAAGAATGGTTTCCTCATATGTAAAACTGGCATACTACTAATTTATTTACGTTGTAGCAGTGTTGTGAGGATTAATTAATATCTGATCAATGACTTGAAAATGTGAAGTGCTATACAAATGTTAGGTTTTACTACTATTGTTTATTAATATGCAAATCTGAGAAACTCTAAAAAGCTGAAAGAAGAATGTGAGCAGGAGAATCTGAGGACTGGAAGGGACGTCGAGAGGTCATCTAGTCCAGTCCCCTGCACTCATGGCAGGATTAAATATTATCTAGCCCAGGGGTGGGCAAACTACGACCCAGGAGCCGCATCTGTTTTAATTTGGCCCTCGAGTTCCCACTGGGGAGCAAGGTCCAGGGCTTGCCCTGCTCTGACATGCCAGCCTGGGAGCAGGGTCAGAGGCTTGCCCTGCTCTGCACGTGCCGTGGCGCCACACTGCTCCCAGAAGCAGCGGTATGTCCCCCCTCCAGCTCCTATGCGTAGGGGCAGCCAGGGGGCTCTGCATGCTGCCCCTGCCTCAAGCGCTGCCCCCTCAGCTCCCACTGGCCTGGAACCACAGCCAATGGGAGCTGCAGGGGTGGCGCCTGTGGACAGGGCGGCGCGCAGAGCTGCCTGGCTGCCCCTCTGCGGAGTTGGAGGAGGAACATGCCGTTGCTTCTGAGAGCTGCTTGAAGTAAGCGCTGCCCGGACCCTGCATTAGCCCTGATCCCCTTCCCGCCCTTCAAATCCCTCAGTCCCAGCCAGAGCACCCCCCTGCACCCCAAACCCCTCATCCCCAGCCCTACCCTAGAGCCCGCACCCCCAGCCAGAGCCCTCACCCTCTGCCCCGCACCCCAACCCTCTGCTCCAGTCCAGAGCCCCCTCCTGCATCCTGAACTCCTCATTTTTGGCCCTACCCCAGAGCCCACACCCCCAGCCAGAGCCCTCATCCCCTCCCATACCCCAACCTCCAATTTTATGAGCATTCACTGCCTGCCATACAATTTCCATACCCGGATATGGTCCTTGGGCCAAAAAGTTTGCCCACCCCGATCTAGACCATCCCTGACAGGTGTTTGTCTAACCTGCTCTTAAAAATCTCTAACGATGGACATTCAACAACCTCCCTAGGAAATTTATTCCAGTGCTTAAACACCCTGACAGTTCGGGAGCTTTTCTTAATGTCCAATCTAAACCGCTCTTGCTGCAATGAAAGCCGCTTACTTGTCCTATCCTCAGAGATTAAGGAGAACAATTTTTCCTCCTTATAACCACCTTTTATGTACTTGAAAACTGTTATCATGTCCCCTCTCAGTCTTCTCTTCTCCAGACTAAACAAACCCAATTTTTTCAATCTTCCCTCATACGTCAAGTTTTCCAGACCTTTAATCATTTTTGTTGCTCTTCTCTGGACTTTCTCCAATTTGTCCACACCTCTCCTGAAATGTGGCGCCCAGAACTGGAGAACAATACTCCAGTTGAGGCCTCATCAGCACAGAGTAGAGCAGAAGAATTATTTCTTGTGTCTTACTTAAAACGCTACTGCTAATATATCCCAGAATGATGTTTGTTTTTTTGCAACAGTGTTACACTGTTGACTCATATTTAGCTTGTGATCCACTATGACCCCCAGATCCCTTTCCGCAGTACACCTTCTCAGGCAGTCATTTCCTATTTTGTATACATGCAACTGATTGTTCCTTTCTAAGTGGAGTTCTTTACATTTGTCCTTATTGAATTTCATCCTATTTACTTCAGACCATTTCTCCAGTTTGTCCAGATCATTTTGAATTTGAATCTGATTCTCCAATGCACTTCCAGCCCCTCCCAGCTCGGTATCGTTCGCAAACTTTATAAGTGTACTCTATATGCCATTATCTAAATCATTGATGAAGATGTTGAACAGAACCAGACCCAGAATTGATCCCTACAGGACCCCACTCGTTATGCCCTTCCAGCATGACTGTGAACCACTGATAACTACTCTCTGGGAATGGTTTTCCAACCAGTTATGCACCCACCTTATAGTAGCTCAATATAGCTTGTATTTTGCTAGTTTATCTACAGTACTGGAGAATCATAATGTCCTATATATTAAAGCCATCAACATTGATTTGCATGGAAAAACAAAATGTGTAAAGTTAACACAGGCTCTACAGGTTTACGTTTCATTAAGTGGAGATAAAAATATTACTAAGTAATCGCAACAAAAAAAGAGAAATGGCACAAATGAACCTGAAAACAAAACTGTTAAATAACTGCAGTCAGCAAGAATGAATCTATTTTCCTAAGTGCAGCATGCAGACAAAGAAGAATTGAGACAGAAAAGCAAATATGACAGACTCAAGCTTTAGTGTCCTATATTCAATTTTGCCATATTGTCATCTGAGGTAGGTTTCACACCAAAGTTTTTTGTAGATTGTGTTTTAAATCAGGCACATATGTTTGATGTAACTATATGAAAAAGAGCTGTTCTGCAATACTGGACACACTTTACATGTTAATTCTATGCTGGAGGGAAAAAACCCAAATCACTTTCTTTGACAGCAAAAACAAAGACACCAAGCATGCTTGAAGATAACAAATAATTTGGCAAATAGTGTTATAAACAGATTTCATTAAAGATAGTCAACCTAAAATACAGCTCCTTTAAAATTGAAAACATCTGTGTTGGAAGGTGGTGGAAAGGGTGAGACTGCATTTCTGGCCAAACTAAAGCAAACTTAGTGCTTGCAGTAGGACAGTTTATCAAAGCTGCATCCTGCTTATTAACTTGGCAAAACTCAATGTGACAATGTCAAATGCTAGTTAAAATAAACCCACTTGTTTCCTGACCAATAATGTCTTCAGAATTCACTAAACCAGTATCTACAACCCATCCTGCAACTGTAAACTGAGAACTGGAGCATTAATAAATATTTATACTTTGGTAGCACCTACAAACCCTGCTCAGCATCAAGGCTCCTTTGGGCTAGCTGCTATAAAAGCATAAACATAGTATGATTTAGGACCAGGATGGTGGCTATCTTAGCCCTCCACAGATGTGCAAGTGGAAGAGAGGACACAAGGAGCTTTCCATGCCTCTTTTGAGGGGAGGGCACAATCTCACTGGCAAACCAGAAGCATCAGCTTCCCAAAAAGCAGAGTGGGTGGGAAGGGCCACGGCAGGGCTGACCCAATGTAAGGCTGGAAGAGATCTTGAGAGGTCATTTAGTAGAATCCCCTGCACTGAGGGGGAACTAAGTACTGTATACTTAGAGAAGTGTTTGTGTACTCCAGCGTTTCTCAAACTCGGGTCCGCGGACCCCTGGGGGTCCATGAGAGTACTCCAGGGGGTCCGTGGGTCCACGGATCAACTCAACTCCTACCCCTCCCTCCCAGTACCCCGGCACACCGGGAAACAGCTGTTCAGCGGCGTGCAGGAGACGCTGGGAGAGAAGGGGAGGAGCGGGGATGGGGCTCACTCATGGGAGGGGGCGGAATCACGTCCAGGGCCACCGGCCCCTCTGAACAACTCCTCCCCCTCTCTTCTAGTGCCTCCTTCATACCAGGGAAGAGCTGTTCAGCGGGGTCCAGGAGGCACTGGGAGGGAGGATGGGAAAGGAGCGGGGAGGGATGTGCTTAGGGGAGAGGGTGGGGAGAGGAGGGGCAGGGTGGAGCAGGGGCAGGAAGATATGGGGTGCGACCTGAGGCTGAGCAAGGATCCTGGGGGTCCACGAAAAATTTTAAATCAAAATCGGGGTCTTCGGGTTGCTAAAGTTTGAGAACCGCTGGTCTAACCTGTTCTTAAAAAAACAGCAATGATGGGAATTTCACAATCTCCCTTAGGATTCTATTCCAGTACTTACCTATCTTTACAGTTAGAAACTTTTCCCTAATATCTAACCTAAATCTCCCTTGCTGCAGATTAAGCCATACTTCTTGTCCTAACTTCAGTGGACACAGAGAACATTTAATCACAATCTTCTTTATAGAACCCCTTAACATATGTGAAGACTTATCAGTTCCCCCCTCAGTTGTATTCTCTCAGGACTAAACATACCCAGTTTTTATTAAGCTTTCCTCATAGGTCAGGTTTTCTAACCCATTTGATCATTTTTGTTGCTCTTTTCTGGATTCTTTCCAGTTTGTTCATACTGGACACAATACTCCAGTTGAGGCCTTACCAGGGCCATATAGAGAAGAACAATTAACTTCTGTTTCTTAGATATGACACTCCTGTTAATACACCCCAGAATTATATTAGCTTTTTTTTGCAACTGCATCACATTGTTGGCTCATATTCAATTTCTGATCTACTATAACCCACAGATATCCTTTTCAGCAATACTACCACCTAACTAGCTATTCCCCATTTTGTAGTTATTCATTTGATTTTTTGCTTCTGAAGTGTAGTACTTTGCAATTTTTTACTGAATTTCCTCTTATTGATTTTCAGACCAATTCTCCAATCTGTCCTGATCGTTTTGAATTCTAATCCTATTATCCAAAGTGTTATCAATCCATCCCAGCTGCAAATTTTATAATACTCTCCACTCCAAGTCATTAATGAAAATACTGAATAGTACTAGTAGTAGGCCAAGGACGTACTCCTGTGGGACCCCACTAGATATGTACTTTCAGTTTGATGAGCCATTGATAACTATTCTTTGAGTACAGTTTTTCCAACCACTTTATAGTAATTTCATCTAGACCACACTTCTCTAGTTTGCTTATGAGAATGTCATGTAGGACAGTGTCAAAAGCCTTACTAAAATCAAGATATATCACGTCTACTACTTCTCCCATCCACTAGGCATCTAACCCTCTCAAAAAGGGAAATTAGATTGGCTGCCAAGATTTGTTCCTGACAAATCCAAATTGGTTATTACTTATAACCCTATTATCCTCTAGGTGCTTACAAATTGATTAATATTGTGTTCTAGTATCTTTCCAAGTACCAAAGTTATACCGACTAGTCTATAATGCCCCAAGTCATCTTTGCTCCTCTTCTCAAAGCAGGCAAACAGTACCTTTCTCTTGTCCTCTGAAACATCGCCCCTCCAACAATTCTCAAAGATGATCACTAATTGTTCTGAGATTACTTCAGCTACTACTGGGTGAATTTCATCAAGACCTGCCAACTTGAATACATCTAACTTATCTAAATATTCTTTAACCTATCCTTTCCTTATTCTAGAGTTTGTTCCGTCTCCCTGGCTGTTAATATTAATTGTGTTAAGCATCTGGTCACAATTAATTATTTTACAGAAAACAAGCAAAATAGACACTAAACACCTCAACCTTCTTGAAGCTGTTCATTATTAGCTCTCCTTCGCTGCTAAATAGAGGACCTACTCTTTCCTTCATCTTTCTCTTGTTCCTTCATCTTTCTCAATATATTTATAGAACCTCTCTTTATTGCCTTTTAAGTCCCTTGTTAGGTGTAACTCATTTTGTGACTTAGCTTTTATGATTTTTGTCCCTGCATGTTTATGCTATTATTTCATATTCCCTCTTAGCAATTTGCCATTTCCACTTTTTGTAGGATTCCTTTTTGATTTTCAAGTCATTAAAGAGCTGATGCAGCCATATGAACCTCTTCTCTTCCTATATTTCCTTTTCATCAGGATAGTTTGCTGTTGTTCCTTTAATATTGTGTCTTTAAGAAACTGCCCGCTCTCCTCAACTGTTTTGCCTTAGATTTGCTTTGCATGGGATCTTATCTACTAGTTCTCTGAGTTTGCCAAAGTCTGCTTTTTTAAAATTCATTGTCCTTATTCTGCTGGTCTCACTCAGTTCCTTTCCTTAGAAATCAGGAAGCCTATCACATCATGATCACTTTCACCTAAGTTGCCTTCCACCTTCACAACTAATATTGCCTGTTGGTCAAAATCAAGTCTAAAGTGACTGTGCTCCTGCTTACTTACCCACCATCTAAAACAAGCTGTCCCCAACACATTCCAAGAACTTACTGGACATTGAGTTTTGCCATATTATTTTTCCAACAGATATCTGGATAGTAAAAGTCCTCATTAATACCAGATCTTCTTTTTTGGATCTTTCTGTTGTTTGTTCTAGAAATACCTCATTCACCTCCTCCCTCTGATTTGTTGGGCTGTTTTTCCCCTCTTTTATCTTCACTTAGAAGCCTTCCACTGGCCTGCCCCTAACCTCCTTTTGGACCTCAGAACAAGTGGATACATTCTTGACGGGTACAATGCAACCTTTCCCCCCGCCTGTCTTTCCTGAACAAGCTATACCCTCCGTCCCCCCTGCAATATTCCAGTCATGAGATTTATCAAACCAAGTCTCTTTTGCTTGTGCATTAAGACTTCCAGTTCTTCCTGTTTATTTCCAAAAGTTCTTGCATTTGTGTACAGTCATCTAAGATGTGCACACTCCCCCACGGTTTTCCCTCTTGTTACTCCTATGTATTGTAATTTTCCATTCCCCACTTCCCTCCTAACTTTCAGCCCTCTGTTAAGGTCACCTTCTTTTATACCTAACCTGAAGTCTTTTGTCACCTGCCCCCTTGGAATCTAGGTTACAGCCTTCTTTACAAGGGTGGTGAGTCAGTGTCCCAACATGCTCTCTCTCTTCTTCATCAGGTGGAGGAAGTACATGCTACACCCTTTCAAGGGGTCATAGAGCAGCTGTTGTAATGTGCACTCCTGAGAAGTGCAGAAGAAAATTTTAGTCAGCCAGAATTTTTCCCAAAGCTCCCACTGCCTCAGTGTCCCTTCTCACATGCCTCCAATGTAATGTCTCGTTCAAAGCCACAATCTGACTTTATGTGTATTACAGAATATTTCTAAATTCCTAGCTTTTTTCCCCTCAAAAAAGAAAATAAGTGCAGCTTCTTAATCCTCATTGCAGTTACTATGGACTTACTTCAGTGAGCCACTTGAACTGAAGATTTCACTGCGACTCAATTCTGAAATCCCATTTCCAATAAAAAGTTTGGTTCCCAGAAATTCTTTGGCGCCTCTTTTACACTTCCCTTCAATATCAGAGTATACAGAGACCACATCTCCAGCTTTCATAACTAGGGAAAGAAAGATATTTTTTAAAAATTTAAATCTGGCAAAAGAACAGTGTCCAACTCATCTGGAACTTCTGATGGGCCATGTACTTCAACCCCTTGCATCATAGCAATATTGATTTCAGGTCAAGACAAGCTTTGAGTATTTCCACCGTTAGCCAGTCCACAAAGTCACCTGGCAGTCTTCTCATTGCCTAATTATTTTCTGCACACAAAATATGACAGAGAAGCCACCTCTGTGTAAAGCATTTAGTTGAGCAAAGTACTTAAGCATGTGCCTGATCATAAGAAGACAAGTAGTCCCACTGTCTTCAAGTATCTTGCTGCACTGGTGCCTAGAAGAGCTTGAAGAACACTTTGGTCTCTGGTACAGGAGATTCTGTTAAGCCTGTTTGGAGTAAAGCAGTAAGAAAGCATGGTCTACATGTGGACTTACTGAGCTCTGCCTCTACTTGTAAAAGCTTCATTCTGAGAGCAACTATTATTCAAACTACCCTTAGAGATTTCTCCCCAGATGCTTTTCTAGGATCTTTTTATTGAAGGGCCTGGCTGGCTGTACTAGAGGAAAACTACAGAGGCAAGACTCAGCTTTTGAACTGGGAATGAACGTGGCTTGTGGGTTGTGTTTCAGAGATCTCTTTCCTATGACCAAGGGGCTAGATTAAATGTGCCCGAAGGAAAGAATCATTTTATTATGGAGACATGCTTTTAGAACTTTTAAAAACTGTATTATATTTGTGATCAATTCTTGTAGCCAGAAATAGCTTCTACACCAGATAATTTTCTTCTTGGGATGTCTACAATACCCAAAACACTGACACTCCATGTTGCTACCATCTACCTAGTATTTGTGAAATTTGCAGATATTTAACTTTACCTCCCATCAAATTATTTGTCCATCCTCACTTGTAAAGCCAAAAGATTTTTTCCCTTGTTGTCTGTCTCTTTAGAACGCAGCAGCAGTATGTTAAATTTTTAGTTATAACTTGCAATATTCGTGTTTTCTCACCCATTCAGGCAGCTACATTGACTATCCTAAAGCTTAAATTTAAATTTGTCAAACTAAGCTTAAAGATCTTCAATCACTGACTCCTCCTTATCTGTTTCAGAGTAGCAGCCGTGTTAGCCTGTATTCGCAAAAAGAAAAGGAGTACTTGTGGCACCTTAGAAACTAACAAATTTATCTGAGCATAAGCTTTCGTGAGCTACAGCTTGACGAAGTGAGCTGTAGCTCACGAAAGCTTATGCTCAAATAAATTGGTTAGTCTCTAAGGTGCCACAAGTACTCCTTTTCTTTCTCCTTATCTGTATAACTTGATCAATGATTAAGTGGCCCACTTATGCACTACCATTCATGTCTTGTTATACCATCTGTGCTGAGTGCAATTTCTAGATACAGGGCTTTATTGTACCTCACCTCAGGCTGGCAGCATACTCTCCACTTCATTTTCCTATCTGTAATTCTTCTAAAATCTTTTTAAAGTCCTGTTGAAGTATGTTTCCCTTTTATTTGATGCTGTGTGCTAATGTACAGCAATGATGATAAATCACTAGCTCACCCAGTAAGTATTTTGCATATTTATGAGTAGAACTGTACAAAATAAAAGCAGTTTCAACAACTGTTGCAGCAACTTACTTGTTTTCTCATAAATGCCTAGATTCAGGAAAGCATACATATTAAGTCAATGGGACTTAAGCACATGCTTAACGTTAACCACGAGTTTAAGTACTTTTCTGAAGAGGACTGAATTTTAGCACATGCATAAGTGCTTTTTTTATTCAGGGCCAAAATTTACTAGATCAGCGGTTCTCAAACTTTAGCAACCCAAGGACTCCCATTTTGATTTAAAAAAATTTTGCAGACCCCAAAGGCCCCCCGAGGCCCTGCCCCACTCCACCCCTTCCCCCAAGGCCCCTCCCCACCTTTTCCCACCCCACCCCAACCCTTCCCCTCCTCTTCCCTGCCTCTTTCCGCCCCCTCCCCCGAGCATACCCCATCTCCGCTCCTCCCCCTCCTTCCCAGCGCCTCCTGCACGCCGCTGAACAGCTGTTTCCCAACGTGCAGGAGGCGCTGGGAAGGAGGGGGAGACACTGAGGGAGGGATGGGGAGGAGTTGATCAGCAGGGCCCGCGGATCCCCTGTAGTACCCTCAAGGACCCCAGTTTGAGAAACGCTGATCTAGATGGAAAAAGAAAGACTTGTGGTTAACACAGCCATAGTCACTACCATGATAACAACAAAGTGAATCATCTACAATTATATTATAAAAGTTAGTTTTATCTTTAAAAAAATAAATAGCACAAATTGTTTCAATATGCAGCTGAAGACTAAGCACTGTTCAATAGCATATGTAGAAGATTATCTTCTGGCTCACTGGCACTGGGAGAGAGAGACACAAGGGTTCGCATGATAACTTCAGAACCTCCATAAATTAGATATGAGAAAGATTTTTCTCACCAAGAAATAACAGAAGTCAATACTAAGATCTCAGTTCAGGGCAACTGCACCTGTATTCCCCGCAGTGGTCCAGCAAGGGCATCCACTCTCAGGCTTCCAACACCTGAGCTGTGGCCGCTCTGGTATGGAGACCCGCATGTCACCCACTTCTGACCAGGGTATGTCCAGGCTGAACAGTTCCCTGCCTTCACTGTGTTACTCCCAGCAAAGAATCTGCCTAAATCTGCTTGATTTTTCTGATAACGGAGTGATTGGTATAGATGAAAGTTACCACCTGTTTCTTTCTAAGGAAGCCTACTTTATTCTTAAGGTAAAAAGCATTACAGAGAAAACATATTAAAAACACAGATGCTAATAAGCTTACCAGATTTCATTGCAACTCTAAAATGGGCTCCATCAAGAGCAGTTTTTCATCACCCCACCCTAAGTGTTTCCTTGTGGTTACAAGTTCATCACAGATTCACCTCAGAACAAGCACACTCATGAGAAATTTAATCCACCCTTTTATATAGAGCAGGGGTCTTTGATCTGGAGATTCCAGAAGCAGGTAATTAGTATACAATAGGTCTCTCTCCCCAGATCTTATCTTCAATGTGTTTGCTTCAGAGGGGAAAACCTGCATTCCCCTCACTTCAAGGAACTTCCTAGAATACCCGCGTCACAGATATTGTTCCAAAAAGACCTTTGAATTTTCTCATACCTTCCAGAGATTGTATTAATTTTGTTTTCCTGCTATAGAAATTCCATACAATTTCACAATAGTACATAAACATTTGCATTTTTAATATAATCTACCACAAAGGTATTAACCCAAATTCAATAAGATTTAATTCAATTCAATTCAATAAGGTACACTCAGGATATTGTCAATCTGTCACACTAGACCATTATAACATCAAACATGCCAATTTCAATGTCAAGAGAAAGCGAAACAAAAAACAAAAACTTCAGTTCTCCTTTACATCTACTTTCTTATGTTCCTAAGATATCATGAAGTCAATGTGTCTTTGTTTGCCATTTTTTCAAAAGCTAACAGCTCCTACTTTAGTGGCCACTAACTACACAGAGGTATCAATCATGTGCCCCATATTTCCCCTTGGTTAGATTGGGAAGTTACTAAATTGAACGTGCTTTTCTTAGGCAGTATTAAGGGTAAATACTGACTTTAATAGCAACTACTGAAGCTTATTAGAAAATCTACAAAATTAATCTCTCCAGTATACACCAAAATGACATAACTTTTCAGTTTGGTCAGGTTATGTCTCACTTGAAAACATCTGATCTTTGTTAAAAAACCCTCTTTTTCAAGTCAAAAGAAGAAGAATGTAAAAATATCAATGACAGACAATCCTGCTGTTAAGAAATTGAAGTCTCTAAAAAGGAGAGAGAACTGAAAGCAGCACAGAAGAGGAGAGGTAGCATGCACCATTTTGTTATAAGTATTGCACAAGAAAAATCATGAAAGTTTTACAAACAAAAACAAAGTAAAATAGATACTAGATGTCAACTGGAATGGATGGTTGCTTCCCCCCCCCTAAATCCTACTGGAATATATTAGAGAACCCTTACATTTTGAAGCAGATATGATTCCTGGAACAAAGACATGCGCTCCTCGTAGCACTGAATTCCCACACTGGGCTCCAACAATGACTTCAGATGATTGCTTTTGTAGATCCTTCCTGAGGATACGAAGTGTAATTTCATTACAAAAACCTGCTGACAGTCTATTTTAGAAAAAAAGTCAGTTCATACATGCTGTTTGAGAAAGGGTGATGGATAAATATGCACCTACTGTATATCAAACTTACAAGATGCAGTTCAGTCCTGTTAAAAGTAAAGAATAAAACCAAGTGGCAGTCCTTGGAAAAATGCAGATTCAGCCCCAAAACTGCTGCTGCCAAAAATCTGATACGAATATACAAAATCAAGTTGTTAACAGATGTGAAAATCATTCTTCTCCACTTTCTCTGCCAGTAACAACTTAGTGTTCAACCAGGATGGTCAAAAAGTGATCTTTTAAATTTAATAACTGCCATAAATCTTTATTACAACAAACATTTGAACACGATGCAGGGAATTTTGCTGGTAGCTACTGTATCCAGATTGGTGATAAGGAAAGTAATGGCTCAGACTTGTCAAGGACAAGTACAAATAGTGGATTATTTAGAGATTGGTACATCAAAGGAGGATTTAAGATCAGTGCAGGACAACAAATAATAAAGTACTGTCCAACACTGTAAAAGAGAGACAGCAAATACCATAATACAATGTACAGTTTGTACACACTAGTATTGTTTATGATCCCTATAATTTAAAAGCCCACTTGACAGAGTCTTGGTAAACTCAAAATTGACAATTGTGTGTAATTTTGAAGCCTCGTTGTAAGAAAGCTCATTTAGATTATCCTTCTAACTGTGAAGTTAAATTAAGCAATGAAAAAACTTCCAAGTGTGGAAACAATGAGGGAACACTAAGTTGTCTAAAATGAAAAACAGAAAAAAAAACAGCTTAAGTATGAATACTGTAGGACATCAGCATAGGGGAATAAACGTGACCCTGGAATTCCTGTTTAACATTATCATTTATGCTACCTTCCCTAAATACACTCATGTGAGTCTTGTACATGCAAATGTTCTAACGGAGGAATATTGTGCACTACTGCAAGACCCTATACTTTGAAGTCCTGCCAAAGTCCCTAGTCCTTCAGCAGAGATAATCTACCTCCTCCTAACATACTCTGCCACACAGCAATTGCTGTAGGGAAAACTAATATGAAGTCCATTATCATAAATGGAGAAAGAAAAGATTATGGTCTTTTAAAATATAACAAAATTCCGAGGGAGTTTGAAAGATCAAAAATTTATGTTATCTAGGACAAGTACTGCATATTTTGGCTTAAAAAACACTTGCAACTTTTTAACAGTGTCTAAGTTATCAAAAATGGGTTAATGTAAAACCTGTTGTGAAACTCAGTAACACAAATTAGTTGTTAAAGTCTGAAAATTACAAACCTGGGTCCAATGACAGGAATAAGTAAGATGTCCTGGAGTTCTGGATGCCGAAGAACTGGAACACTAAGACCTTTAAACTGCTGTTGAATTTTTTTAAAAATAAAAGAACATTAACAAACAACAATGCTTTAAAAAGTACTTTATTGTACTTGGAATTAATTATTTTTCAGTTCACACTTTATATCTATGAATGGTAGAATCTCTTTAATTGATGAGAAGCTGGGAAATCCGACATTAGGAAATGCTGTATATTATAAATACTCAAGCTAAAACACAGAGATAAATAAGTACATTCAGAAATGCCAAGACCACACTAGGAGTCATTGACAAGATTCATTTCTCTGTATCTGTGTTTTTACCAAAGCATTTCCCCTTACAAAGCAAAAAAATTGACTAAAATACCAGTTCCAGATTCCTAGAACAAGTTGTATGATAAAACAAGCATAACTCATTACCGTCCTAGCAAATAGTTAGAGTAGCGCCAACTGCTTTCACATTACAGAAATGTCTTGGCCCCGTCATGCAGTTGCTGTCTGTAAACCCACCAACATCAATAATTTATTTATAGAAGAACCGGATCTCCTCAGAAAGACTGAAGAGATATGGTAGGATTTCTAAACCATTTACTTTCAGACTTTCTGGCTTACAATTAATTATCTCTGTCAGATAAAGACAGTCATAAAATAAATAGAACAAAAAAAAATCAAAAAATTAACTAAACGTCAAAGCATTTTGTTACACCATCAGGCAGGAATCGCTCAAGTTATTTGGATACTCTGTTTCTTTCAATTTCACAGACTTCTTAAATAAGACACTGCAACATCAGTTCATTTTTCTGTCACCTTTTATTAAAAGCAAGCTCTATACTTGTTGCATATATCTTCTCAGACTACTAGTTTCTATTTCTGTTGTCTTGTCTAGATTGCAGTGCCTTCCTTCTACGTTTGTAAAGCATTTAGCACAAAGGGGCCAAGCCAAAATCCTAATTAGGGTCTACAGGTGCTATTATAATACAAATAATCCATGAGTATTATATGGTCCTTATTTATAGATTTTAAATTTCTGAAGGAATGTGCACGTTTCGAAAATGCAAAGAAAGAAATTCTCTGACTCAATCGCTGGTATTTTTTATTAGACCTTATCTACAATAAAACTCAAGTTCTTTAGAACTTTGCAAAAAAAAAACCAAACATGTCTTTTCTCCTGTTGATGAAAGCACATTTGGTTTAGGGCACTATGAGTATTTTTAACTTCCTTTAATGTATCAGATATTGATTAGTATTGGACTTAACTCACAGACTCTACCTATGTTTCCATTTGACTCTGAAAGTGCTAATAGGATTTTCATCCCGGCACCAAACTGAAAGTAGGCATACTCATCAAGTTTAGGAACTGTTTCCATTATTTGAAAAAAGGCTCTTGCAATCAGCTAGAAAACCAGAAATCTTGTAGCTATCTTTAGTGATAACCAGGACACAAAACTGCACAAACCTTGTGGATCTCTTCAAACAGCAGATTTTTCACTTGTTTCACTGAAGCCAAATGAGTGTTAACTCTAACAGTTGTGAAAGCTGGAGGATGAGATAGACAATTTAATAGAGATTCATATTTCCTCTCTGCTTCCAGTGTGCCTAAAGCACTTATGAGCTAAAAGAAAAAAAGATATATATTAGTAATAAACAGCTTCAGGCAGTAGTGCTTGTTGTAGTCAAAAAGTTTAAATCAACCATTATTTTGTGTATGTCATGTAATAGACCCTCAGACGCATATGCAGCTCCCACTGACTTCAGTGAGAATCACATACGCACACTTGAGATCAGTCTGGCTGCTGAAAAGACCAGTCTATTTATTGAGCAAGAGTATTCTAAACAAACTGATATTGGAACAGGCATTAGAATTAATCTTAATTGATTTGATATTGCTCTATTAAGTGGCATTCCTAGCTTGCTGTACAAAGCAACAAGTATACAGAGACAAAAAAAGCAGACTGCGACTCAAAGTTGTGATGAGTTTGTGTGATGGATGAAGATGGCTTGAAAAAAAATGTTTTTTTTTTTTTTTTACAATAGAAATTCAGGTAGTTTGTCTAATCTGTGGGAGGTGGTGGGCTTTTTTTTCTTTTTGATGGGGGGATGGTGGTAGTGATAATTGTTCTTGGAAGACTTTAAAGAAGACTAGATTGTGATACCTCAAGATGAGTTTTCTTGGAACTTATTAATTAAACATTTATTAACAGTATATTCAGTTTATTAAAAGTCCCAAAAAGTTTAAAAACAAATTTTCGTATTATACCTATATTCATACTTTTAGAAATCACACATTAGACTAGCCCTTATAACTTCCAGATGGAATTAACAATCCTAGGCCCCAATTCTTCAATGAGCAGTGTACAGTCAGACTCCTGAATCCACACAGGACCATTGAAGTCAATGATGCTCTGCATGGAGCTCATTACAGGATCAGAGCCCTTTGCTGAAAAGATCTCTCTAACTCTAAATACTAAAGATAAATGCCTCTCACAATAAAAGTGTATCAGTAATTTCATATAAAAAATAAAGTTAAAAGAATGTAATGGCTGCACAGTTCAACATTCAACCAGTGAAAGGCAAATCTGTTTACACAGGCTGACTGGCTGAGTTACCTTTATCACATACCTCCTTATTTCTAAACACGTTCCCAAGGTATTCTTCAACTTCCGGTTGCAGTAATATTTTTGAAAAAAAAGACATTTTCCTTTATAGTGCAATAGCCTTCCTGGTAAACAACAGCAATAAACAAATTAATGTTTTCATTATTAAAGATATTTAATTTGCATAATTGCTAATTAAATAGCCAAATGAAAAGGGTTGCAAAAAAATTCAGGTTGTGTTGTGTATGATAGTTATTCAACAGTACCATAAGAAAATCTATGGGACATTAGGAGGCACATAATTAGGTGTATTGTGTGAAAAGACATTATCTCCTCCAGGTTTCTCACCAATGTGAATATTTCATCAAAACAGTAAGAAATTTTTCAAAACACTGATTTTTGATTTTTTTAAGTATTACGGCTCACAGTAAAGTGAATGGACTTGCATAAGTTACTAAAACCCAATGACAGGTTTCAGAGTAACAGCCGTGTTAGTCTGTATTCGCAAAAAGAAAAGGAGTACTTGTGGCACCTTAGAGACTAACCAATTTATTTGAGCATGAGCTTTCGTGAGCTACAGCTCACTTCATCGGATGCATACCGTGGAAACTGCAGCAGACTTTATATATACACAGAGAATATGAAACAATACCTCCTCCCACCCCACTGTCCTGCTGGTAATAGCTTATCTAAAGTGATCTTTATGGATCACTTTAGATAAGCTATTACCAGCAGGACAGTGGGGTGGGAGGAGGTATTGTTTCATATTCTCTGTGTATATATAAAGTCTGCTGCAGTTTCCACGGTATGCATCCGATGAAGTGAGCTGTAGCTCACGAAAGCTCATGCTCAAATAAATTGGTTAGTCTCTAAGGTGCCACAAGTACTCCTTTTCTTTTTGTAAAACCCAATGCAACTTTTTACAAGATGTATCCCTAAGTTATGAGTTACGGTGGTGTTTGTACTGGCTAGATGGTGCAGTTGCTAATTGTATTTTAACATGTTAATTAACTATTAGAAATTGCATTTTACACAAAGACTTAATTCTAACAATCTGATTAATAAATTGGTTGCCACCATAGAGGGATCAGTGATGATAAAAAAAAATCTTCAAATTCATGTAAATTGTTTTATCACAACTACAAAGATAAGATACATGCTTTAATTGTGGGGAAGACTGGAAAGGGTTACACAGTGAATGGTTTTAAGATACCATTGTGTGATCTTTCATTCTTTCTGAACAAAGTATTAAATGTCTTCTCAATTCAAATAAATGCACATAATGATATACAACTATGTTTCTGGTATAGTGTAGTAGATGTAAATAACGGTTACATTTGATATTTTTCAAATGTTCTGTCCAAAGGTGTTTGCCAAATGTTAACTAGAAGATCTACCTTCCATTTTCCTATGCTGTACCTTTGCCCTAAAGTATGCATCAGGGACCCTCCATAACATTCTCCCCTCCCTACCCAAAGTCCAATCCAATCACCGTAGTATGTGCTTAATATATTTATTTATATTCAGCTTTCCTCAAATTTAAAAATGCCAACATGTATAACAATGAGTAACTGCACTGTAGATGTCAGGGGAAAGCTAAAGGTTTGGGCAGCTGCGAAAGGAACATTTGGCACTTAGGAAAGCATCTGAGATATCTAGGGTTTTTGTTTGTGTCAAGGAAGCAGTCAAGGCTTTTGGTACAAGAAAGGTGATACATCACTTTTGGGCATGGGCAGAGGAGACTAGATTTGGTGGGAGTGTAAGAGGGAAGTTGAATTGCTCATTCCCCACTTTAGCAACCCTTGAAAGGAATGAGCAGCCTCACTGCACCCAGTCCCTGTATCTGTATCTAGCACTATGTCTCAATGTGACCAATAAGCACGCTGCCTTGATGTTTCTACTAAACTTAACCACAGTATGCATCCGATGAAGTGAGTTGTAGCTCACGAAAGCTTATGCTCAAATAAATTGGTTAGTCTCTAAGGTGCCACAAGTACTCCTTTTCTTTTAATCACCACTGAAAGTTAATGTTGCCATTTAAAGAAGTCTATTCATCATACTTCAAAATTGAAACATGACGAATAAACTTCTTTTAAAAAATAAAACATTTTTTTAAAAATGCATTCTCAAAACACAGTTAAGCACCAATTTAAAACACAACTGCAATTATGAAGTAATTTATACAATAACATTACTTGTAGAACTCAGGCCTACACTTAATAGTGTTATGGTACGAACATTGTACGTAAAGATGCTGATATGAATATTTTCATGGTATAAGTGACCTAAAACTTCCAGACACATCTCCATAGAAAAGTGGCAATAAATCTTACCTGGTTTAGCATTAGGTATAGTATTTCATTATGATGTGCCATTGGCAAAATGGTTTGCTTTCACTCCCTATATGTATGGTATGGACTGCATAAACTGCCTCCAAAAACAGGCCAAAAAAGTAATGAAGGGTTCACTTAATTAACATCAAAATGTGCAGCTATAGTGAAACTGCTCCCCTATGTGACAAGACAGAAGTGTTTGTATTGCCATGTAACCAGTTACATTGATATTTTCATATTTGTTATCCCTTACAGGCTATTTGTTCAATGGCCAGGTCTTCAGGGACCTGAAGATGCATCTGGGCAACAATTTTCAGAAGTGCCTTGGTGCCCAACTCCCATTTAAATCGAGGGGGGGGGGGGATACCTCGGTGTTTATCTGCCTCTTTAAGTGCCTAAATTTCTCAGAAAAACCCAGTGAGGAGGGAAGTGTGCGGGGCAGTTCCTCCCGTCCAGACTACGGACCGCAGGGCCCTCCCTACAGAGAGCAAGTAGGGCTCACGTACCCACACTGGCGCTACCTGGGCCGGCGTGGCTAAAGCAGCAAGGATTTTCGGTACCTACGGCTCCGGAAAGGCTGGCACAGCTCGTGCACCGGGTAACACCAGCACCGGCTAACACTGCCGCGCAGAGCGGCATCCCCCTCCCCACCCCGGTGGCTCTCAGTCGCGCCCAAACTCCGGCGGCTCTGGGGACGCCTACTCCAGACCGTGCCCCGCAGCGCCTCTGCTTAGGCCTGCCAGAGCAGCCGCAACGCCTGTCCTCCGGGCAGGAGCCGCGCCGCGCGGAGAGTCTGGGAAGGAGACGGCTCGCGGGTGAGGCAGAGGCTCCCGCCTCCCGACCGCGCTGGCCCGCGGCGCTGTTAGGGGCGTAAGGGGGGATCCTGCTGCCCCTTCAACAGTGACTACGGAGCTTCCCCCCGACAGCACTCCACGTCCTTGCACACCCGCCCTACCTTCGGCCGCAGCCCGCCTCTTCCGGGGTACGGCGGAAAACTCCGCCCCGAGCCTCCCTTGGGCTTGGTCAGCTGCGCTCATCCGCCTTCCACTGACCGTCAGGCCGGCAAAGGGTTGGGGGCTGAGGCGAGTTCTAAGCGCGGCGGGAGCTGCCCGCTTGGCCGCTCCCGCCGCCTCAGCCCTCGTCGGGGAGCGCGCGAGGGCGCCGCTCGGCTCCAGCTCACAGGAGAACGGGGCACCGGGGAGAGGGCTGGCTCCTGTGGCCACACGAGCCCCCTGAATCGCCCCTTTGGCTTCCCGGGGACAACTCACGTGTGCGCGGCCAGCCCCGTGCGGAAAGCTCTGTCCGAGCGTTACCAGAGCAGTGCCCCCCGTCCCCGCCCCAGTGCGTCACAGGAATAAGAACCAGCCGGGCGGCAGCCCCCTGGATGCCTCGCGAAAGAGAGGCACAAGAGGTGAAACAGGGGCGGCCGGGAGAAGCGTGGCATTTTCTCTGCGCGGGTGTTGACGGAGCTGTAGCTCTCTATGGTGCGCGGCATTATTTAGCCAGCCCGGGAACCTCAAACCAACACAATCAGCGCGTGGGTCGGGGCCCAACCTGCAACCGGCACATTTCCCCACCAGCAGCAGTTACCGCCCGGCGCCGCGTCCGTTACCCAGCGGTTACGGGCCGCTGGGGCGTCGGGTGAGGTGCTCAGCCCCCCGCGGAGCCCCGCTGACCGCGGGGGGACAATGGCCGGGGGCGTGCAGCAGCGCAGGCTTCCCGGCGGAGCGGTGTCCCCTGACGCTCCGCTGCGCCCAGGGGCACTAGGACCGCGGGCCGTCGGGGGACGCAACACCCAGCCCCACGGCTGAGGGTGACGCCACGTACTATTTTTTTCACGTCAGGGAGGAGGGCACGTACGTAATGGCGTGCGGAGTCACGCAGTGACGCAAGGCGGTTGGGGAAGGCATTGGCTGCAGTGGCTGGCTGGGGAGGCGGGTTTGAGGGTGGCTCCGCCTACTTGCTTCTTCGGGCTCTGTTCCCTTGCCCGGGACCAGGCGCGGCCGCCGCCTTCGAGTCACCAGTGCCGGCTGGCGCCCCTTTGCGTCGTGGGGACTCTCGGAGCGTGACGTCGTCCGGCCGCGGCCGAGCCTAGCCATGGGCCTGATATTTGCTAAGCTGTGGAGTTTTTTCTGTGACCAGGGTGAGCGGCGTTCGCCGGGGGCGGGGCTGTGCCGGCTCGGGGGAGCCGCTGGTCCGTTGGGGGGGCTGCCGGGGAGGGAGGCATGGGGTCCCGGCTGTGATGGGGAAGGGAGGCCCCTCGAGTGTTGAGGGAGCAGGTGGGGGGAGTGCCTGGAGTGTGTGTGAATGGGGGTCGTAGGCTGGCATCGAAGCGGGGGAGGTTAGTTCAGTGCGGGGTTGGCTAATGCACCCTATTCTCTCAAACTTACTTTTTCATCACTGCAACAGCAGAGACTTTCAGGGTCTCACTAGCTACGGTTCCTCTCTTCTTCCGAGTCCTGTTCTGTGAAACTGTGCATCCAAATTGCGGTCAGCTGGGAAACAGTGCTGTTAAGATAATGTAATGTTGGCTGTGTCAGACTGAAGGGGTCAAACTTTCTGTGTCTTTGCAAAGTAAGCTGTTATGGGATAAGAAGGAAGGTTCTCTCATGGATTGGTAACTGGTTTAACAAAAAGGAAACAAAGGGTAGGAATAAATGGTCAGTTTTCTGAATGGAGATAGGTAAATTGTGGTGTCCCCCAAGGGTCTGTACTGGGACCAGTCCTATTCAACATATTCATAAATGATCTGGAAAAAGGGGTAAGCAGTGAGGTGGCAAAATTTGCAGATGATACAAAAGTACTCAAGATAGTTAAGTCCAAAGCAGACTGCAAAAAGCTACAGAAGGATCTCTCAAACCTGGGTGACTGGGAAACAAAGTGGCAGATGAAATTAAGTGTTGGGAATTTTTACAGAATGTTGGGAATCCATTAAGAAAGTAATAGATAATAAGACAGAAAATATCATATTGCCTCTATATAAATTGATGGTATGCCCACATCTTGAATATTGTGTGCAGATGTGGTCGCCCCATCTCAAAAAATATATATTGGATTTGGAAAAGGTTCAGAAAAGAGCAACAACAATGATTAGGGGTATGGAACAGCTTCCAAATGAGAAGACAGTAAAAAGGTTGGGACTTTTCACCTTGGAAAAGAGATGTCTAAGGTGGGATATGATAGATGTAAAATCATGACAGGTGTGGAGAAAGTAAGGAAGGGTTGTTTATGCCCTCTCATAACACAAGAACTAGGGCTCACCAAATGAAATTAATAGGCAGCAGGTTTAAAACAAACAAAAGGAAGTATTTCTTCACACAGTGCACAGTCAAACTGGTGACTGTGTGGTGAAGGCTCGTTTGGTGAAGGCCAGAGGATGTGGTGAAGGCCAAGATTATAACAGGGTTCAAAAAAGAACTAGATAAATTCATGGAGGATAGGTCCATCAGTGTCTATTAGCCGGGATAGGCAGGGATGACGTCCCTAGCCTCTGTTTGCCAGAAGCTGAGAATTGCCGATGGATCACTTGATTACCTATTCTGTTCATTCCCTCTGGGGCACTTGGTGTTGGCCTCTGTTGGAAGACAGCTTATTGTGCTAGGTGGACCTTGGTCTGACGCAGTATGGCCATTCTTATGTACGTTTAGAGTTGGGTTTACTTTTTGGGGGAGGGGGTGGTCCATGATCTTTCCAGCTCCCATAAAATATGACTTTCTTACATAAAATTGCTGACAGGCAGAATATGAATGTTGTTAATTCTATAAAGCTTGTATACACGTACTTGTAGTCCCTTGATTTTGGGGGATTCCATTTAAGTAGCATAAATTAGTTGCACATCTGATACTGATTTGTTTTTATTGCTCACAATAAGCCGTTTTTAAGTGTTGTTTGGTTAATTATTTGACTTGGTTGAAAGGTGCTAGTTTAATATGTTTACTTGGTTTTTAAATGCCAAGTAAATCAAAATTGGAAGACTCTAATAAGCTGTTGTAGTGAAGAGTGTGGTTCTTGCCCCTAACATAAGTATCCATTTTTGAGGCATAGGTTTAGAAGGCTTAGAGTGAAATTCTGACTCCATGGAAGTTGATCAAAACTCCCGTTGACTACTGTGGGGTCAGGATTTCACCCACTGGGTCATTAAGATACCTTAAATTTGCTGTTTAAAGCGAATTGTGAAGCCTAATCAAAATAACTGTTTTCTCTGCATGGTTCATTCTAACCTTTTCCAAAAAAACACTTTGTTTTTTATGTAAGGCTCAGGTTTTGTGTTGCATGGTTTTAGTAAAAAGTCATGGACGGGTCACTGGAAATGAACAAAAATTCATGGCAGCCTGTGACTTGTCCCTGACTTTCACTAAAAATATCCCTCACACATGTATTTGAGTGAAGTGCTATCAAACTACCAATATATATGGAAATACACATTTTAATATACTGCTTAATGTCACATGTCTCTGATCACTAACAGATAACTGTACTCTGGTAGAGGTGACTAGTTTAGAATACTACATTATTATTGAAAGGTAAGAGAAATCAAGCATGTATTAAGGAAAAACAGGAAATAAAGTTGTTACGATATTGAATTAGATAATATTGTGATGAAAGTAGTATATAAAGTTTGCACAGCATGTTTAACTTAATTCTGTCAGGCACTATTTTCTCCTAAAATGTGCAGACATTCAAATTAGCAACAGTGGTCTAGCTAGGGAGGAGCCCAAACACCTGGAACTCCTTTCTTCTCCTCACAACAAAAGACATTGAGCAAAACTAAGGACATGTCTACACTACAAACTTAGGTTGACTTAAGTTGACATACAGCCACCACACTAATTAAGTCGGTTGTGCATGTCTAGACTACAGTCCTTGCGTTGATGGAGAGTGTCTTCATTAGCAGCTCTTGCGTCGATGTAGAGAGCAGCACACTGTGGGTAGATATCCCACAGTGCAACTCGTCACAGGTGGTTTTGGGAAGGGTTTGCAATGCCTCGTGGGAATAAAACATTTTTGCATAGGTGACTGGGAACATGGCTCGAAGATCCCATGATGCAGTTTTCTCCCTCTCATGATTTCATCTGCATCCCATAATATTTTGTGCCTTTTTTTCAAAAGGCTGGCATAGCCGCATATACACCATCTCTAGAGAAGCAAGGACTCTACACAGCTGTGCTCTGTTGTGGTGAGCGTTGCAAACCCTATGCACCTTATCCTTCAGTATTTCCAGAGCCACAAGAGAAACTGCCCTGTGGAACATGGCAGTGTCCTTCAAGTAACAATGCTGTAAGCCATGGAACAAAACAGTTCATGATTGCTGTTGGCAGTTGCACAGCAGCTGAACATGATGGAGCGCTGTTTCTGGACCTGAGAAACAATCACTGACTGGTGGCATCACATCGTTATGCAGGTATGGGATGATGAGTAGTGGCTGCAGAACTTTTGTATGCGCAAGGCCACTTTCTGGAATTTGTGTACGGCGCAGCGACACTAAAATGAGACTTGCTCTGACTGGAGAAACTAGTGGCAGTTGCTGTCTGGAAGCTTGCAATGCTACTGGTCAGTGGGGAATCAATTTGGAGTAGGGAAGTTTCCATTGAGATTGCTGTGGTCCAAATATGGAGGGCCATTAGTCCTCTTTTGCTAAGAATGGTTGTGACTTTAGGCAATGTTCAGGAGATATTGCATGGTTTTGCTGCAGTAGGGTTCCCTAACTGCAGTGGGGCGATAGATGGCACACTCATCCCTGTCTTAGCACCAGACCACCTTGATACAGAGTACATAAACGGAAAGGGAACTTTTCAATGGAGCTGCAAGTTCTGGTGGATCACCAGGTGTGTTTTACCGTCATTAATGTGGGATGCTCTGGGAAGGTGCCTGACACCCGCATCTTTAAGAACACAGGCCTGTTCAGAAAGCTGCAAGCAGGGATTTCCTTTCTGGATCACAAAATCACTATTAAAGATGTTGAAATACGAATATTGATTCTGGAACATCCAGCCTACCCCTTATTCCTATGGCTTGTGAAGCCGTACATCGGACACCTGGACAGGAGCACTTCAACAATAGGTCAGCAAGTCCAAATGGCAGTTGAATGTGCTTTTGGCTGTTTGAAGGGTCATTGGCACAGTTTGCTCACTAGGGTAGACTTCTGTGAAAAAAAATATCCCCATGGTGGTAGCTGCCTGCTGTATGCTTCATAATATGTGTGAAGCAAAGGGAGAGAAGTTTTCACAGGGCTGAGGCTTGGAGGTGAATAGGCTGTCTGCTAATTTTGAGCAGCCAGATACCAGGGCTATAAAAGCTCAGCATGGAGCAGTGCATCTGAGGGAGGTTTTGAAAACCCATTTTATTAATGACGCACTGTGACGTGTTGCTTTTCTGTTTTTGCATGTGAATAGTCTGAACATTGCCATGACTGCTCTGTGTGTGTAGTTATGTAACATTGGAAATACACTTCTTGCTTTTCTCTGACAGTGACTCCCGGCACTCACCAACGAGACCCGCCTCCCAACCTAGTGCTGGGGAGACAACCCCACAGTCCATTCAGCTCCTGGCCCCTCCAAAGGCACTACCAGGGTGGGGTATGTGGGGGGTATGTACTCGATGCCCGGGGAATGGGCTGCAATCCACCAACTCATCCTGCATGGAGGGCCACTACAGTGGTGGTTATGACTGAGGGGAGTGTGGCCTACTGCTTACAGCGTGGAGGGGATAGGAGCCTGGGCTCCTGGGTTCTAGCCACAACTCCAGCTCTGTGTGAACTCGTTCATACACCCAGTGCCTAAGTTTCCCTAGCCATCCCTCCTCCCCCAGTGCTTTGAATTAGTAAAGATTTCATTTTTAAGAAATGGACTTTTATTGCACACATATATAAACAAAAATGTGACATCGAATTAAACCTTGGAAATACAGGAGGGAAATACATTCATCTTTTGTTCAAAAACAAACTGGCCTTGCCTGTCCCACATCAGTGTATGTGCAGCTGTGAGTCTGTACACCATCCCCCAGGGTTGAGTGGAAAGGATATTGTACTGGCCCCCCATGCCTAGTGGAATGTGTGTGTGAGGGGGGGAGTATGGTGATTTTGGAATGCCATTCTGCAGGGGCTGTAGAGCTTCAAAATGTCTCTCCTGGAGGTCAACCAGACAC